CCACCCTACGGCAACGTTTGGTAAACGTTGCCGTATCTATCAACAGCAACGTTTGCCAAACGTTGTGAAAGACTATTTTTGGCAACATTTGCCAAACGTTGCCATATCTCTACGGCAACGTTTTTTAAACGTTATCGTAGACTTTCGACAACGTTCAAGAAACGTTGCCGTATCTCTCTACTCTACGACAATACCTTGATTTGCAACACACGTCTAAACGTTGCCGTACGTTTTTTGAACGTTGCCGTCTGCTGTTTTTGTTGTAGTGATCACATGCTTCCCTACATAGGGATCATGTCAAGCTGGTTTTCAAGGTACCAAGTTTGTCCATCTGTTTTCACTTTATTACTTGGCATTTGAAGATTGTTTATTTGTTGATGTATGAGATATAGAAAGGAGAAAATATCCATAAAACACGGTTTTTGGAGAGAGAGAAAAGAAAAAATGTCTAACACTTCTAGCCTACTTCATTTTCTCTTCCACTTAACCTGATTTTTGTGGGTCTATAATGTCTGCGAGTCACACAGCCATGGTCAATGAAGAACTTTTTTGCATCTTAAACCCTAACTCCTTTTAGTGTGTTACCTCTGAAATTTTCTGTCTTGTAAGCGATTTAATGAAGAATTCATGGTGGGCTGCTCATTCTGTGAAGAATCTATTGTAATTTTAGTTGATCAGTGGAAGTTATGTTTACTTCATAAGAGTTGATTAAACTGATCAATATTGACCACAATTTCCTGTGTTTCTTACAGCAATTTCGTGTTCCATGATTTCTTTGTTTTTAGGAAATTGTCATGTTAATTTATTTGTGAGAGCCAAAGATGTATTCATGGTGAATTGGTTAGACACAGGCTGCCACAGTTAAGAGATGTTCCAGCAGGGGAAAAAAATTATGAAAAAGCTGAAAATTTGAATGCTTCAATAGGAAAATGTAAAGTATCGTCGACTAGTCAAAGAGAGGCAAACTGTTGGAATTTTATGATTCAAAAGTTCTTTGAAAAATGCTCTGATATTCAAACATATTTTTATTAATCGAGAGGATGTGAAGGAGGAACAAAAATATATTTTCCTATATCGCTTATAGAAGTAACCGGATATTGAACAAAGAAAAACATAAACTCTGTTCGTTTATGAACTCACATAGGAGAAGGAATGAAAAATTCTATAATGCCATTCATCATTTCATTAAACATTTCCTTCTACATTTTTTCAAACAACTCGGCTATATATATAGCCAAACTT